GTCTATTGAGCCCACGTAAGACCTTGAAAGAAGACCTTGAGAGATTACGGCTTTTTGAATCTTATGTTTATTAATGTTTTGATGCTTACAGTTTTCGAATCCGTCGGTAATTTTTGGTTGACATCGAGTTTTCCATCCTCTGACCCAGTTTTTTTTACCTCGAAGGTCACATGATATTGCAAAATAAAGGTGGTTTATTATCGTGCCCTAACACGATGGTAATGGGGGGGGGGGGGTCAAATTGACCCCGTCCAAAGTTTTCCAGAACGGTGATTCCATTTCCATCGTGATTCGTGCCAACTGCTGAAGCGTGCGACGATTGAGTCTGGCCGAAGCAAGTGGCCAAGGTAGTTATTACCAGTGACACATTTGTGATTGTCGACCGACAGCAAATATGGTACATCGACCATAACAACATTCGTGTTGTAATCATCAGAGCTTGGCATGCAGGGTGAATCGTCTTCTTCCTAAGATAATGGAATAAAAAACAAGAACATTGGCGGCCAATCACATTATGCTAAGTAACTTCAGAGGGAATTGTGTGTTCTGTTCCTCAAGCATATGTTGCTTTTTGGGGTGTTCATGTTAGGCGTGATGATATGAAAAGATGAAGCGAGTATTGCGACCATTGCATATTTTTGCATGGTTCCACGAAGGCTGTTTGCATCAGACCAGCATCAAAACCTTTATTCAAAATGCAAGGGCAAAAATCTCTCGCGCGCCCGAGAAGTTGGTTATTTTAGGTGGCAAGTAAGCGGGTAGAAGCATCGCCAATACATTCAGTATGAACACCTTTAGCAGATGTCTGCGAAAAATTGAACTCGGGAGGACTTTTAATTTGGAGCTGGTTGCACCGTGCGAAATAGTTTGGGTTGTGGTTTAAGATTAGGTTGAGTATCTGGTAACCAACCACACCGAATGCAGTGCACTTAGGAAGTATTTTTGTTATTTTGTTGGCGTTGGTCGAATCAAAACCAATAACTAGTTTGGCACCAGTGTGTTGCGAGTAAAAGCTAAGCCAAGGATGGAGTTTTCAAGCACGCAAATTTGAAAAACAAAGAAAGAAAACATGACCCACTAAACTTGACGAATGTGACTTCACGGTTTTAAATGCGGGCCGGTTCTTGGACACTATTTTGGGATGGTAGGTGAAGCGTTTGCATGAAACTGAACCTAGCCTCCAGCGAATGTTGTCACACCACCAGCACGCGCGGCTATCCCTTGTTTATGTATTTTTACTACATGTAAATGTATTATACCCACATTTTGAATTCCTAACGAATTAATCGGAACCGTTTGTGCGGCTTCAAAGCTGCATAATGAAAGGTAGCATAACTATCACGCATTAGCACATGTCCATCAACTTTTACATGTAGTCATGTTTTAATAAATTTGTTCAACAAAGAAGCAATAATCTTTTTGCACACATTCTCAAACTTTTGCCATTTTGAGGAATTCGGATTCCATCGCAACACAAAAACTCTCTACAATAAACGCCATGATTCATAATACAAACAAAAATGGCAGGTTTTCTGAAACCGGCACTTAAACGTATTCCATCGGAAATAAAAAGGGCATGGCTATTAGTAAAAATAAGGGTAGGTTATACAAGTATCTAATTTTGCTCTAATTGCACGATGCAACAAATACCACGTGGTTTCGGCATTTTCAGTACATGTCGCGAGTACGTGATGTCGTTGAGGCTCCTGATGAGCAAAAACGTTAGATCTGTGATAAATGAAGTAGTTTAGATCCCAAGATTCCTAAAAATGTCTCAGATATTACTCAAAGATTAAGCGATGATTAGTATCTACAGAGCACGGTGTCCACGTGAAATGCACGAATATTCTCCCCTGTTTTCCCTTCGACACGCGCTTGGGAGGGGAGTCATATTGCCCCCCCCCCTCCCCCTCCCCCCGGAAGGTTTATCCAGAATGGTTTCCGAACAGGGCGGCGTAGCCGCACCAAATTTTGCTTAGCTATAGACAATTACGTATTGGATCGCTTGTTTCAAAAATTTAGATGTACCTTGTAACGTCACTGACCCATGACAGGTCAAAGTCAGGCCATGACTTCAGCGAAGGTAATTTCTAGGGAATCGTCCAATCTGATACAGTAACGCAGTGTTTGACGAAGCCATACATTTCTGAGATGCTTTCTTAGGCACCACAAATATTGAATGAGCAAATTACGTTGACCTAGTGTCGGGTATGAAGGTCATACCAAGGTCAAAACCAGCCTGATTTATTGCTCTGGCGCTCGCTGTATGAATAGCTTGTGGTGCTCATTTCGAATTTATTTACAGCTGGGGCCGCATTACAATCTTCCGTTGACTTTTTTTAGCAGTCAGAACAGGTCATTGACCTAAGATAACCCAGATCGACATTTTGTTTAGGAACATACTGCTTAGCGTAACCTTTGTCACTTATTCAAATGCAAAACTCAGGGCAGTCTTGTATAATTTTGGTCACTATGACCTTCAAATGGTCAAACAAAGGTAACTGACCTTAAATGGGTTTGTGACCTTTTGCTTAGAAACAGTTGCCTAAGTTCCAGTGGCATTTGAGAGGCCAACCTGGAACTGGACCTTGTTGATCTTTTTTACCTGAAAGTCATGATCTAGGAAGCTCAAACTTTGACCTAAGTGAGTTCATCTACAGGTTAAGACACCCCGTAAATTCGGTGTTTCTAGCCTTCTTAGTTCCCGAGATCTTAGCGGGGAGCTCAAATCCCCCCCACCCGAGCGAAGGTTATCTAGCCGGCCACCCGGCCCGTGCTAATTGACCTTTAAAGGTTTTTCAGAAAAATCGGAACTCGTCGCTGAATAAATATCTGAATAAATTGCTAACTTCACGGACATCTAGCACTCTGTTGACAAAACATGGAGGCATCGTCCAGAGCTGGCTCGATAACCGGTTTGCTCCGTCCCGAATAGAGACAACGGAGCGGCTAGCAGTGAGACAGGCTAGTGAAGGTGGAGGTTACATTAAGGATCGCATGGGGGCGTATGGGCCACGTCTGTCCCGTCTACCTCGTGTGGCGCCCGATTCACCGTGCGTGATGACTGTGTTATTTAGGGTTTTGTTCGGTCGAACACCACGGCCTGTCGCATGGTTAATAACCCAACTTCCTTCCAATGGCACACGCGTGTACATGGCACTACGCACGTTTGGTGTAACGCGGCGCATGAGTCTGCCCAAGGGCGTGCCAGGCTGCCCACACAATCGACGGATCCGGTCCACTGCACCTGGGGCGGGCAACGGCGATCAGGGAGTCATGCCAGCCGATCTGTTATTGCATTATGTCCCTGGGGCGTGGTGGGACCACCATAGGGCAAGGAAAACACGTCGGCCTTATGCATGGCTGCAGTACTTCCGTGAATCAATACTCCCACCGCGCCGGCTCCTGATCTAATCTCTGCGCTGAAGAAGCCGGTACTGATGAGAACATGCGCACTGGCAGTGCTGCAATGAATGCCGCGGCGAACGCAAACAAGTTTCGCCGTGTTCGTGTTACAAAACGGTGTCGTGCAAAAACAAAACCAAACGTAACGCAAATGTACGCTGCAAAACACGGTCCCTGCATAACGCAGATTTCCCCATTAACCGTGTTTGCCGTGTGAATATCTAAAACGCGTTATTTTCAGCACGGTTCCAGGACGTGCTGATATTATATGGACGGTATGTATATTATATTAAACATGCAATATATACGTAGATATATATATATATATATATATATATATATATATATATATATATATATATATATATATGGATGGTTCCGCGGTGTCGAAGAGTTCTAGTCGGTCCCTTGCACACCGCTGCATGCGTTCTTCGCTGCCGGAAGTGTTCTTTCAGCCCGGTGTTGTCGGATGTCAACATCTTCCACAGACTGTCCGATGATGCAAAAAATGTGTTTCGGAATGAAGTCCTTTTTGCTTTGATTAGCGGCTCCAGACGCACCCTGAGGCTTATCGCACGGCGTCTGGTGCCAGGGGATTTTATCGCACTGCTTTTTCAAAGCCGCCTGAGAATTCCCCTCTTCTGAAAATCACCGTCCTTGAAGACAGGTTTAGCAGCGCCATGTCGTGCAAACACACACTATTGCAATCATATCAAAGCGTTTGTTCAGTGTTTTTCTCGGCTCACCCCTGCTGACCGTGCACACGTACCGCGCACCGCTGGCACCCCCTGCGTTCCCTGGCAACGGCGCTCAGGAGCCGTCGATACGTCAGTCAGGATGGCGAGGGGAGCCGAAGTGACAGCCGGCTAACGCAGAGCAGTCGTGGCCGGAGCTCGCGGCAGGCTAATCTAGAGCACGTCGCGTATTTGCTACTGCCTTTTTGTCATAACTCTCCTCCCTCACCCACCCACACACCGACGGTCCCTTCAAGTCATCGCGCATGACGTCTTATGCGACACAGCACGCTGAAGTGGGCAAGGCTGCGAGGGTCACGAAAGACCGCCGATCATCTGTCGACATTAGAATCCGGCGGCATAACGGAGATCAGCCGTTTCTTAGCGGCAGCATCAGGTCTGCCATCCAAGACATTTAGGAACAATGACAGAAATGAGCACGCTTCAGCGGTTTTGTTGCGATGTCTTCCCTAGCACATGGTAACTGAAAACAATCAAGTCTTCCTACTTAGTTTTTGAGAAAATCAGTAAGGTAATGGTTTTCATAGTTTGTTTAGGCTGTGGTGTCTGTATAGTCAAGATCACGCACAGCTCAACGCGCAGTGCAGTCACGCCTCTCTCGGCAAATCTGGCTCCAGCACCGATGTTCTGTCCAGAACCCACCGACCAGCACTGCCGACGCGGGGAGCAGCGTGCTTGCGTGTGCCATGGCACTCATTCCCGAGGCCTGTGAGACTGGCGTTTTTTCCAGTGGTTAGCCTGCGCCCTAGGACGTGCTCTCTCCCGCCCCCCCCCCCCCCCTCGGACCTTTTCTGTACGTTCGCTGATTGAAGATATATCCAGCGTGAAAGGAGACCATGGTTCTCGATCAATGTGTATTTACAAAATTCGCATCGCCAGCTCATGCTACACGCTCTCAAGTATAGTACGCTCAAAATGCGGATGACATGAAATGAAAACGAAAGGAATGGTGTGAGTGTTTCTGGCTTAAAACGGCGCACGAATGCGCGGAAGCTGGCCGCGTACAACGCACGCGACCAGCGCGAGAGCATGGCAAGAGCTGAAACAGGAGCGACGGCCGCCATCGCACCGCGTTCAATCAAGACCATTCACGCCCCACTGAAGGTGAAGTAGTCCTGCACACAGCCAGCGGCGGCAGACGGCTCGCGGATACCATGACGTCACATCCGCAGCGCCACCGCAGCGCCGCCAAGCGGACGCCGTCCGCAACTGCAATCCGCCCTGCTAAGAACAGCACAGCCTGAAGATATCCAGCGACAGCGGCCGACGGCGGCCGACTTGCGGCCGCTCGTGAGTCTGGCGCACCGGCGTCGAGACTCATCGACGCTCCGCAAGGTAGCCTGAACGGTGACGTCACCCGGCCGCACATGACGTCACGGACGTTCGTTACTCTGGAGGTGACCGGATCATTGTTGAAAGTTGTGGTAGTCCAACTTGAACTGCAAGCACACTAGGACCATCGCTTTCAAGCTAGACCCAAGAACATTTGGGCACACACACTATGTGGTTCACGGCAGTCACTCTGTGGCCGAAAAAAGAAAGCGCTGAGTAAAAGAGTCGTCCGGCTGGCAGTGTCAAGCGACGGCCCACCTCGCGCACAAATCCTTGCGCTCCGAGCGGAGGGATCCGCACCAGACCGACCACCGTGCCACCTGGCAGACCCATCACGCCCTACAGACGACGCTCGCAGTATAGATGGCGCTAGTGTCGGGCCGGCCGCCGCGCCGCCGTGCTGTCTGCGAGCTCGCCTCACGCCAGCGCCCAGAGCTCGACGGCGTGGATGAGGAAGTCGCGGCTGGTGGTGAGCGGCTCGTTATTGTAGGTGCGGCACGGCTCTGTGTGGCCGCGGTACAGCTCCTCATCCAAAAACAGGCCAGAGCGGCCCCTGCAAGCACGCGGACGTCAGGGCGCGAACAGCGTCCAGGTAACGCAGCACGATGCTCTTGTTAGCAAGGACGACAAATTAGAGATACAGTGGGGAGAGCATGCCCCCCAATTCTGAGCAGCATCTAGCACTAAACATTAGGCGCCGGATGGAGAAAGACGAGCAAAGTCACGTTTGTCCCTCCGCCCCCCCCCCCCCCCAATCCCACCTCCATGAAAATTCCAACACCACCGGCTGGTAAACCACCAAAACACTCGGAAGCTTGAGAAATATTCTGAACGATCGAGACGTGGTATGGCACTGAAAAGACATTGCCTATATAACAAGCCAAAGGCAAACAGACCATGCGCAATATTAATATACATCATAACCTGCCATCATCGTCACATGGCAGACTGCAATTAGTTGGTGACCAGAGACCAGAACTGCGGAGCGCTTACTCTCCGGAGCCGAATTCAAGGCCGTAGAGGGAGCCTCGGGCGAAGTACTGGTTCTCGCCGCTCCACCGGAACTCGCGGAACTCCGGGTGGAACGTGAACAGGAACGATTCGCCAGTGCCGTAGTAGTGGGGATCCATCCGGATAGGATCCGAACTTACAGCCCCGAACACCTGGCGAGGCAAGACATGACAGTCGTCAAATAAATACACTGAGTCGTGAAATTAATACATGACAGTCGTGAAATAAATGCGTAAGAGTCGTGAAATCAATACACGAATACGATACAACTTTGCCATGCTGAAAACAGCGTACGTAAACAACGTACAACGTACGCCAACATGCTACGCATGTCTGCGCAAATCGCCAATGAACAGGGCCAACGATGCGGTGATGTTACGGCGGGTGCCGCAGAGCGACTGTGCGCCGGCACTGAGACAACTATGCGCCGCCCCATATTCCTGATGCCACGCGTTCGGGACGCACGCAACAGCGACGTCAACAATTTGGGACAAATGGCTGAAGAACAGCGACAGAAAAGCTACCACCTCAAACCTCATTGCAACCGGTTGCTCACCAGAACGCGCAGACATTGCTCGGAGCACACAGCTCAGCTGCTGATTCAATACAAACTTCACCTCAGTGCACACGTGGTCACGGCCGGCCGACCTCTGCGACCCCCGCGGCTCCGCCCCCCCCCCTCCCCCCCATGCGGACGGGTGCGCGCTGACTCACGTGCTGCTCGGCATCCTGGACGAACAGCACCATGGGGCACTCATGCTCGGCAGCCCGGCGGTACAGCGACTTCAGGCTGAACCCGTGCTCACTGGTGCTGAAGAGCAGATTCCACGGATGCCCTGTGGCCAGTGGTGAACAGCTCTGTTAATGCTGCTTTCCTTACACTGTTCAGAACAGGTCACTTGCAGCGGAACGTAGTTCGGATAGAACTGAAGCACAGTTATGCCCAATGCATGTAGGATAAAGGATGCTGTTTTACGAGTAGGTCCAAAGCACGTTGTTCGGTTCCAAACAGACAACTTGGGCAGATGATTACAATCAATACGTTAAAATACCTTCAGAAGTGCAACTGGCAAATCACCACGAACACCAAACTCTGCAACTTTGGTGCGTAATGCACGTGCCTGCGACAAACAGTAATGCTTAAACGGTCCTTCCCTAAACCACATCAGTGTCGATGCCTCCTGCTCCCCACAAACGCCGCTGCCACATCCGCCCCCCTCATTCTTCTGCGCCTCGCGGAGAGCCGGCCCCGACCAGCCGCTCGCCGGAGACGGACCGGTCCTCACCCTCGACGCGCGCTGGCAGCAGCTTGTACACGCAGGACGCCATCTCATCGGTGACGATCTCAGTCCTGCCCACCAGGTCAGGGACGAGGGCCATGCCCAAACCCGGCGACTCGAGGCCGCGCGCGGCCGGATTCTCGCCCGAGGCGTCAGCCGGCTGCGGGCACAAGGAGTAGCCATCATTGACACCGGTCACGCTCACAGCCGCTCTTACGTATGCGGCCACCATCGGTATGCGCGCGATACCTTCCGCAGATAGGGACGCGTTTCGGACGGGCCCATCTGCTCGGGAGGGGGGGGGGCGGGGTAGGTCGCAGCACAATGGTTATGAGTGGCGCGTCGGGTCTGGGCCGCTTTCGCCGCGTGGCCATCGCTAAAGGCTACCAAGTTAATGGGGCCACAGCGAAGACGGCACGAGCTTTTAAACACGCAGGAGATTACGGTAAGCGGCCACTCTACCGAGAGTACTGCGACGCTGGGGTTATTCAACATGCTGGGGTTATTCAACATTGCACACGGCTATCTTGCGCAGTAATATTTCATGCTGCACCGACTAGCGCATGCTGACCTGAATATCGCAGCATAAATACCGCAAAGGTTACAAGATCGCCAGGATTTACGATGGTCACAACCAAGATCACCAGACATTCATTCACCAGATCGTATCCACGGTGGAATACGATCAGCCTTCAGCCGCCAGTTTCACGCTCTAGGTAAGCCATTGTTCCGCCGTGAAAGTTTCTGATGGCCGTTTTCGGGAGTTTTTGAAATGAAACTTCGGCGGCACTCACATTACAGATGTACTACACACGTGATAGATCCTGGCTTGAGTAGCACAAGAAGTCCACTCTTTCACGGGCATTAATTTGCATTCTTTTGTGAGGGCCCTGTCACCACCACCCCCACCCCCTTCCAAAGCTGTCTTGGGCCCCCATTGTTGGCTTGCCCCCCAATGGTTTTGGTTAGAATACTACAAAAAAGGTGGGTAAAAGATGATCATAACACAAAGTATCTTCTTTGCTCTTTCTGCGTAGTGGCGTCCCGTACCACTCTCATAACAAATAGTCATGGTTGCTCTCACCACAAGATACAAATCGTGACAGCTGAGCGGATAAATGATGCAATACATTTCACATACCTAGCGCCATAAGACAAGCGATAGTTTGTGAAGTTTAAGTGAAAACCTCTAAAATATGGGGATGACTTAAGCCCTTCATGGCTAGCCCCATCCCCACAACCAAAATGCATGCTGCCTTCCATGACCGCCACAGAAGAGCGCTATCGGCGCCCCAAGGTGGCCTCTAAAGGTGCATCTTCACGTGCCGATCAGGAGAGACGCGTGCGTCCAGTGCCTGCTCCCTGGATCGAACCCTGCATGACTTCTATAGTTATGCTTAGATTAAGACTTCTGTAAAAAATACAATGATTTCAACACACGCTGCGTTTAATCAAAATAAAGTGGGCTGAATCCGGTGAGAAAAATGGGAAAAAGTTGTCTGGCCTTCGGTTCGGCCTCCCAATAATTTAAAACCATTGACACTCCTGGTTCTTTTAACTGGACGTGTCTCGCGTCGCCTTGCATCTATCATGCATCGGTGATCACCGCACCTCACGACATATTATATCAAAATATGTTCTATATTTTTCACCTTAACCCCTCCCCGTCACACACACACACACAATGACGGAATATCAGTCAACTGTTTCAGCGGACACCCGAGGAGTGCCGCCCAAACGGCTAGAGAAAACGGCTGGCTAGTCACATGTCCCTTGGAGCCATGCTTGCTACAGAGACCACAGCCTCCGCGTCAAAGGAGACATTTAGCTTTTAACACCACTCAGAAGCGCGACATTCATGACGAGTGGATACCACCAGAATGACGCCATTGCAAGAAGAAGAATAGCTATATTAAACGAATTTGTAGCAAGCAGATCCGTCCCACCAAGACAAACTCGTCAGCAGAGCTTTGTCCTCAACACGTGAGACCTTGCGGATGCCGTGTTCAGTGTGTCATCGACACCGCACCTGGCTTTGCCAGCGCGCGCCTAGAGTCACACAGTGACAGTTCGGCCTTTTCGCATGAACGTAAGGTCACCCAGAGAGGTCGTCGACATTACGCGGCGCAAGGCAGGTGCTGATACTACTGCGCAATAACCAACCAACCACAAACCATAAAATCTCAACACAGAAACGCGCCTTCCTCAGTGCTTAAAGCCGACTACATAAACCACTCAAAGCACCTTAAAATTTTTGGCTGATACGCAGTTAAAGACAACGTGTATATGCATCGCAGAGGTCGACGGTTGTCCCGATGCGATCAGTTCCACGCTGGTGGGGACCTCCAGGAGATCTCCACACTGGAGAGACCGCAATGGTAATGCCGTGCCGAGGACGTCAGTGCTGCAGATGACGCTACACCGCCGTCAATGTGTAGGAACGCCCATCAAGATGTTATGACTCGCCAGAGAAGTTCCGCGATGAAATTAATCGATACAAACTTGGAATATGAGATATGGAATACGGAAAATATGGAGTCCCGGCGAATATTGGAAGCATAAAGAAGCTGGCCTACATATGCAACAGCTCAGGGAGCTGAGGTAATGAGTGTGACAACATACGATTGTACATAAAATCAACGGGTCAGGGCTGTCTGCAACATCTTGCAACTAACGTCAACATGACATAACACCATGACGGGACGATAACACGACCAAACCCGACTGGCGCTGCCGACTGACCAGTCCGACATACTTCTGCTGATCAGGCAAAAACACGGCGAGTCGCCAACTTCCCACACGCTAGCGTGCTTTAAAAGTATCCAACGGTGCCTACATTTACGTAATATCTTTGCCGAAGTTGAACATACCTCGAGGCAGCGACCCTGCGGGCGTCACGGTCGCCACCCTGCCCCGGGCCAGGCGTGACGTCCCTAGCCTTGGGGCAACCGGCGGCGGCGGGCGCCGTTTCACAAGGCGTGCGGATGCCATGGCGCAACACCGGAGCCGGGCACAAAGGAGCGGCGCATGTCACCCGCCGAAGGGGCTGGCCACTGGGTCAGGTCCGGTCGGAGGACGGCGCCGACGCCCGAGCGATCGCCAGGCGACCCTCGCGCCTCGCGTGGCGCCGCTCAGGTCGTTAGGGTCACCCGTGCGGTCAAGGGTCAAGGTCGCGCGCCAGCCGCGCCTGACCGCGGCAGTGACACGAGCAACGCGCCGCACCCGCGGCCTGTTCGCCGATCAGCACCGGATCCCATCAGGCGCTCCCTTCTGTGAGCGGCATTATCGCGGATATAAGCATTCCTGCCGTAATGCCGGCATCTGGTGAGAGTTGTCCCGTCGCAGACCATGAACTGATTGCTATTGTTGCTGCCTTAGTAGGTTGCGTGGCACACTTCTGACCGGTCTTCATATGGGATTACGGCTTCCGAGATTACGTCGACACGTCCCGCTGGAAACCCGGGCGAGTACCAAGGATGAGGAATGCTCCTGTGCAGCGGCTTTGATTTGCAATTGCACTTGATTGCATTTGAATTTTGAATGCATGAATGCAACTGTGCCCCATGACCGTCGGCCGGCATTGCAGTCAACCATTAGCGCCCAACGCATCTTACGTGAACTGTCAGCTGTTTGGGGTTTGCCGGACACTTAAGCTCATCCGGAGGCCGTTGCGGTGCCAGCCTTGAGAGCGTGACTACTGCGCATTCGATACGCAGAGATAACGTGCCGCCCCGTTCTTTATCCTTGACTTGTGCCAGCCGACTGCACATCCGCGCACCTGCGCGTAAAACAATGCGTGCGACGTTTGTGAACTTTTTCTCCTTGTGCTTTTTCCCATTGGACCCCTTATTGTGTGCAAATTTTCGGACCTTACAATGGTCTCATGCTCGCGCACCACCACGTAACTTGCTGATGTGCTGACGCGTCTGGCAGCGGCAACGGTACGCACTGGAAATAAATGTCAGTGGTGCTGTGAGTCGATGTCAGCGAGTAAAAGAAACCGGTTGGCCTGCTCACAGGTGCATTGATAAACCTTAACGAGACGATGAATTACTAGTCACTGCGCTACACGGCACCAAACACGACGAGACATCAAATGCCGAACACGATATTCCCCGGGATTTTCAAGACTGGTCCAAGCATCTCCCCGCACATCATCAAGATCGGCCTCGCCTTCCTTTGTCCCCCCCCCCCCCCTTCCCTCCTGTCACTCCACCAGCGCCGGCTCGCCCAGATCGCCGGCGCCGGTCCGTTCCTAGCGCAGCGACCTGGTTTGCGGCGCCCGGCACCGCGCGGCACCGCCGGCACGAGAGAGCTGGCCCTGGCCGGCCGGCCCGGCCTGGCCCGCGCACATACCTGCACGCCGCATGGCCCGGCCGTGCAGACGTGCGGCCGCACGCGCCATCTCCGAACCCGGCACGGACGTGCACGGCCGGGTGTTTTTGCGCGTGCCGCGCGCGCGCGCCTCTTCCCTTTCCGCGTGCGGAGGATGCCGGACGGTCCAGCACCGTAACAAACGACTGAGAATGCTTTGTTTGCCAGTCTGTTGACGGCGCCTCAGTCAAGCCTGACTCAGCCGACCATCGGATGCAAACACAGGCCAGTTTGAAGCACGCCACTGGGCCCTCGCACACGAGGTATTTCGCGGAGTGACGAAAGGCCGCCGACCTGACCGGCCCCCAGGCGCTGCGGCGCCCCGGGGTCTGCTGCGGCGCTGGACAGGAAGGGGATGACTGCCGGCATGGCCGCGGGGGACGGGGTGACCTTGGCCCGGTCCGCAGGAGCCGACGGCGAGGCCGGCAGAGGCAGATGAGCGGGGTTTGTGAAAGTGCCGTGGGCTGAATTCAACCGCGACCTTTCGTTCACGAGTCCTTTAACCCACATGCAGTGCCGGAAACAATATAAATGCCGGAATTAATCCAAAAATGGCGTGAATTCCTCGGCTAAATCTGCATGACCAGATCGAGAACAGCCAGCGCACCAGCAAACCAATGAAAACGGGTAGGAACATCCGCATACTACAAAAAACCTAACCTACCGAACTCGACGACGCCAAAAGTCCAGCCCAACGAGCAATAGGTCGTGCCCCAGTTTTCCGAAGCCTGCCATCATGGCGAGGCCGTGCACCTTTACCCGCTGTTGTACTTCCAGAAGCGTTGT